TGGTCAAGTTACTTTTTTGATGTATTTAGGTTAATAGATTGTAAGAATATCAAGAATACGATTTCTGGATTTATGCAATATGTATATCAAATACGTAATTGATCGCGATGTATAAATTATCTTTGTTTACATTTTTTCGTGGTTTACATTTTTTCGATTCTTTATATTTCTTCATTTATATTTTTTTTATGTTTTTTCGTTTGTTTATTGCTTTATTAACATCTTCTAACCCTTTCTTTTTTGTTTGTTTTTTTTTATTTGTTCATTGCTTTACTAACGTTTACTAATCCTCTCTTTTTCGATTGTTTTTTTGTTTTTTTTTTCGTTTATGCTTTTGTTTACGTTTTTTTTTTATGTTTTTCATTTATGTTTTCGTTTATATTTTTTATCGTTTATGTTTCTTTTTTCGTTTATGTTTTTTAGTTTATTTAGTTTAGATTTTTTCGTTTATGTTTTTTTTTGTTTTTTTTTGTTTATGTTTTTTAGTTTATGTTTTTTTTGTTTATGTTGTTTTCATTTATGTTTTTTTTATTTATGTTTTTTCGGTTGTTTTTTTTCGTTATTTTTTTTTTCTAACTGTTATTTTCTATTTAGATTGTCTAGGTTGTTGTTGGTGGGTGGAAGGAGAAGGTGGAAAAGTAGTATAGTATAGAGTAGTATTTGAACTCTAGAGGTTATGAGTTTAAAGCTTATTGAATTAGGAACAACCCACTTTCGATAAGGAAATTCGAAAGAAACGGGTTGGGGGAAACCTTCCCAACCGACGAGATACACCTCTACGCGGTGGTTGGGACAAGTAAGAGAAATCTCTAAAACAAGAGAAATCTCTGAAACTAAGTATCTCGATTTTCTTGATTTTTAAATTTTTTTTTTTTTGTAATTTAAAAATAAATAAATAAAAAATTTAATTATATATGTAAAAACGAATAAAAATAAATAATAATAATAAAGAAAATAATTATAAATAAAATTATATTTTTTAAATAAATAAAAGTTTACTAATACAATAAAATATTATAAATTATAAATATTTTAAAAAAACTTAAGTAAAAAATATGGTTAATATCCTTTGGTTCTTGAGTTCGTTATAAAATTTTCAAATGTTAGACTTCGGCTAAAGATTAGATCTGTTTAACCGAGTGAAATTATGTTTATCGTGCATTAGAATTACAGTATTTTAATGCCGGCTGAATTAAGTGGTTAATACGGAATAACAGTATTAATGTGTTGCTAGATAAAAAAAATATATATTAACTTCACGAATGCGAATCTACATCTATCAAATATACTTGCAAATCGAAAATGTGTACCCGGATGATTCATTAATGATATCATCGATTAATTAAATAAACTATCGCTATACTATACTAATAAATAATTATCGTTATTTTCAAGGCCAATTCGTTTCTTTATTAATTCATTTCATATCTCGCTTCATATTTCGCTTCATATTTCGCTTCACACTTCGCTTCACATTTCATATTTCGCTTCATATTTCGCTTCACACTTCGCTTCATATTTCATATAAATAAAAAAAAAAATAATAAAATCAAATAATAATAAAAGTACAACCCGATTCGTTCAATTTACCCACTCAAAAAAATTTTCACCCAATAATACTTATAAAGTTGAATATTGGACAGCTTAATGTAGTTTATATGTGGATCTTAACAGTAACGCATAATTAATGAATGTAATTAACCGTGTCTAAATCTAACTTCAAAATTTTTTCCGGATATCAATCCCGGACTATCACATGATCATCCGGAGCACAACCTGGTACCGTATTGTCTCGAAATAACGCCCCGGGTGTAGGTTAAAATTTTGGCCAGAATTAAGCTTAATTCTGCCTAAATGAAGCTTAATTCGGGCCAAAATTTTAACCTACCCCCCGGGCGTTATTTCGAGACAATACGGTACACATTTTTCGGGGTGCAATATACTTACTGTATAACGCTCTATAACGATAAAGTAAGCCCATCAAAAAGTACCCCATAGAATAGTACCGGGTATTATATTGGTCTCATCTCCTGAAAACCATTATATACCTAGAGTTATATCATATACCATTACTGTATTGAAATAATATTTCTTGTAAAACATGTTCGGGACTACCAACACTGACAGTAAATGAAAAAGCTACTCTAGAATCTGAAAAGTTTGAAAATATATTTATCAGGAATTCATAAA